AACGTGAAGCGTAGTGGCATTATTATTATTGCACGTTAGCTCCATCGCTGTCAGTCACTGATAAGTTTATTAACCCTAAGAAACGAATCCTCCGGAATTTAAAAACCCTAATAACTCTTCCTTCTTCCGCCGCCGGAATACAGTTTTTGATGGCGGAACAATCTTCGGAAATTCCCAGCACTCTCTCTTCGGGAATGGAGGCCGTTTCGATTACATCAACTCAGGCATCTTCTTCTGCCGCTGGATTACAGTGAGTTTTTTTTTGTTTACAGTTCATCAATTGTTCTGTTTCGCACTTCGATTACAGTGGTTTTCATGGGTTTGATTCTGGGCTAGAGCACTTATTGATCTGGCGGATTTGAAACTTTTCTAATTCCAGGATGAGCGAAGAGGTTGAGAAGAGATACCAGATTGTTAGGAGCATCGGTGAGGAATGCATACAAGAGGAAGAGCTGAAGAATCTTCTTGCTAAGAAAGCTGCTCCGATTTGCTACGATGGGTTTGAACCATCAGGAAGGATGCACATCGCTCAGGTCTGTTTATCTTTTTCTCTGTTATTCGACTTTGCGATTCAATCAGTGTTTTAGTTAACTTTGACTGCTAAGTTAGTTAATTTGAGGTGTATATTGTTTGGCTAATTCGTTTTGTTCTGCTGTTTCCTAATAGGGAGTGATGAAGGTTATCAATGTGAACAAATTGACTTCAGCTGGTTGCCGAGTTAAAATCTGGATTGCTGATTGGTTTGCTCAGTTGAACAACAAAATGGGCGGTGACTTGAAGAAAATCAGAGTGGTTGGAGAATACTTCCAAGAGATATGGAAGGCAGCTGGGATGAACGAAGATAAAGTAGAGTTCTTGTGGTCGTCCGAGGAAATTAATGCTAGGGCGGACAAGTACTGGCCCCTTGTGATGGACATTGCTCGCAAAAACAAGCTCCCTAGAATCTTAAGGTTACTATTTTTTTTTTTTTCAGTCTTCTCCATGCTTGAGTCATTGCATTTATGTGAGGGAAAGGATGGGACCTGAATCTGAATGAGCCTGTTTCTTGTCCTTGCAGGTGTGTGCAGATTATGGGACGTAGTGAGACCGATGAGCTGAGTGCTGCCCAGATCCTTTACCCATGCATGCAGTGTGCAGATATTTTTTTCCTTGAGGTACTTTTTAATATGTATTCTGTATGTATGTCTTTAGATAAGGCTTTTCTCTTGCTTATGAACTGTCTTTGGATTCTGTTACTAGTTGATTGGAATCGAGAATTTAGCTTTAGCTATATCTCAGCAGAAAGGTGATAACATTGCCGGAAAAAAATAGACTGATCAAAGCTCCGTATATGATTGGCAGATTTTGTTGATGTATAGAGTTTATCTTTACTCAATGTAACGTTTACATTATGTGTATCTATCTGGCTTATGATTTCTGTGATTGCTGTTTAAACATTTCTTTTACATCTGTAGGCTGATATTTGCCAGCTTGGGATGGATCAAAGAAAAGTAAATGTGCTAGCAAGAGAATACTGTGATGACATCAAGAGGAAAAACAAACCGATAATCTTGTCGCACCGTATGCTCTAAATTTTCTATTTGACTTCTGTTATGGCACGCATTTCCTGGTCTAGCATTGGTTATCATCTTTTGGCTGTAACGACTTGCAGATATGCTTCCTGGTCTCCAACAAGGACAAGAAAAGATGTCCAAAAGTGATCCATTATCTGCCATCTTTATGGAAGATGAGGAGGTAACTGAAACTTAGCCAATTCTCTAAGTTTACAAAACTAAGAAAGAGTTTTACAGTTATTGACTTTGAAGGTCTTGTTGTCCTCAGGCTGAAGTTAATGTGAAGATCAAGAAAGCTTACTGTCCTCCCAAAATTGTGCAAGGCAATCCATGCCTTGAATACATCAAATTCATCATTCTACCGTGGTTTGATGAGTTCACAGTTGAGAGAAATGAAGAATATGGTGGTAACAAGTGAGTTTTTGCCATTTTTTCTTCTTTCTGGGTTGCTTGATGTATTTCAAATACAATTTTTATTGCTGTAATCCTATTTCCTCGGTACATATGTCCACTAAAATGGTGAAAAATCCTTCTGTGGAATTTCTTCCAAATTTTAGGACCTACAAAAATTTTGAAGACATTGCTGCTGAATATGAGAGCGGCGAGTTGCATCCCGGGGATCTAAAGAAAGGCCTGATGAACGCGCTGAATAAGATATTGCAAGTAAGTAAAATTTACTTATGTGACAGCTTCACGAGTCCCTAATGATAATATTAGTGTAAAACAAACAATTATTTGGACAACGTTTTAGTAGTTTGGATCAATAACAGAATCATTACCTCCTTTACCAAATATTGCAGCCTGTTCGTGATCATTTCAAAACAGACGCCCGCGCCAAGAATCTGCTCAAACAGATCAAGGTAATAAAAACATTCATGTTTTCCGGTTTTGTTAATTATACAGCTAGTACACCATTGCTTGCAAATTTATAATAATCTCTCACTCCTTTGTTTGTTGTGTAGGCTTACAGAGTTACCAGATAAAATGACAGCTAGAAGCTTACGTGCGAGTCATTGTTTCGGCAAATCGTATCTCTCATTTTAAGATTAAACTTATTATTCACAAAACACTAGGTGTAATTCCTCAATATTTTATACATCATATGCTACTACTAGTTGCCATCTCCAGCGTTGAGGACAATAAAATGCATTTTTTTTTAATGATATTACTGTGGAGTAATTTTAAAAATCTGTATAATGTCGAAACTGTTTAAAAGCCCTATCTACTGGCCACTGGGAAGATATCTTCTAGGAAGGTCTGGACATTCTTGCATCCTGAGAAGCTGACTTCTTCGATCTCCTTTACTTCAGAAATGCTTCCCGATATACATTTTAGCTTCTTGCAGCCCTCTTATCCATAGTTTTTTTAGTGAGGATAGTTTTTTGATCTACCAGGGGATTTCTTCTATCATTATCATCATACCATGTATAAGTGCAACTCTTCGATGGACTCCTGGGTATCTAGAAATTTTGTTTGGTTCTTTTCACAGCCGGAAAGGCTAGTCCATTGCTCCATCGATGAAGGCACTTCTTCTATCGAGGTGGTGTTCCTCGCGTAGAGGCCAATAGTGTTGGTTGAAAAGTCAGGAGGATTTGTTAATGTTTTTTTCATTCCTTGATGTTTTTTGGGAAAGTTTCTAGGTTTACGAAGCTTCGCAAATCCAATCTCTAGAGATAAGCAAATGAAAGAAAATTTGTTTCCTCTAGATGATCATTATTGGACATTTCAGGCAACCCCGATAGCCGAGATCAGGCCGATAGTGATGCAACTGTTCTCCGAGGTTTTGTTTCCTAGAATTAGCTCTAGTATGCGAGTTTCACTGAGGCATTCGGACCAAATGGAACAAGTCCCTTAGTAAAATTCTGACTACAAGTCCAAATGTGGTAAATAAACATATAGCATGCTTAAAGGCAAACACATAATGGAGCCGGAATTGTTGGTTCTCTTGTAGTTTAACCTTTAAACAGATGTTCACAAGCGTAACTATGCATTATTTTGTGTACGCCCATACAAGACGGGCCGGAATTTCAATGAGCCCATTTGATTATAATGGAACCTCCTCTTCTTCTGTTTTGACGTACGTGGCTGCCTCAAACTTGTTTCGTTTTCTTTTCCTCAAAAATTAAGAAAAATAGTAAAAATCCCACTAAAGAATCAATCAAAAGTCTCTCAAGAGTCTTTTGTAGATATAATAATCTTAGGGCTTTCTTCTACAAGATCGAAAATATCACAGAGAGACACTTTCTCCATTGATTTCTTCGTTCGAGATTCTCTTCTCTCCCCCAAATGGCGTCAAACAGCAGCGACAATTTCCAACACAGACCACGCCCGAGAAACGGACCTCCTCCGCCGCGGCGTCAAGGGAGAAATCCGCCGCCTCCGTCGTCGTCAACGCGAACTCAGAATCAGCCACAACAGCAGACGCAGGAGAAGCGGAAACCTGTGTTCGTCAAGGTCGATCAACTGAAACCAGGCACGAGCGGGCACAATCTGACCGTTAAGGTTGTCGATCAGATCTCCGTCCCTCAGAAGACCGGCGTTGCTGCTTCCTCTTCTCACCTCCGACCTACTCGGATCTCTGAGTGTCTCGTTGGAGATGAGACTGCTTCCATCCTCTTTACCGCTCGAAACGATCAAGGTTTGATACTTAGTCCGATTCTGCCTTGTTCCAAATCTGTGATACTTTCTGTTTTTGAATTACCTCTCAAAACCTTAATGATCCTTTGGATAAACCACTATGGGCATTTGATCACTTTCCAAATGTGAATTACAAATTAGTGGCGCACCAAATTTCTTCGTAGTTATGAGTCTTGTGCTCTTGAAACATTGTAGCTATTGTGTTAAGAACTGAAGATGTTGGATACTCTGAAACTCGAATTGGTATTGCTTTATAAGTCATTGCTAGAGTGACAGATTTTGTCGAAGGATCTGTTCTGCTCTGATATTGTGTATTTGCATATTCAAAGTGGGCTATTTTATGCAATGATATGGTGTTAATACAAGTATGTTCTTGTGGATTCAGTGGAGTTGATGAAACCAGGAGCTACTGTGAATCTCCGAAATGCTAAGGTAGATATGTTCAAGGGATCAATGAGGCTTGCTGTTGACAAATGGGGTCGTATCGAGGTCATTGAACCGGCTGACATAACTGTTAAAGAGGACAACAATCTGTCCCTTGTGGAGTACGAGCTCGTCAATGTCAATGAATGAATGATTTTTAACCCCTATGTTTAATAGGTGATATCAAGCGCCACAATGAATTTTGTTTTGCGGTCTGTAATACCAGCCAGAT